AAATCCTTGCGTTTGCCAGTCAAGCGCTTATCCTACTGAGCCATCTCCCCGGCCCTCAGGAGGCCCTCAATAATGCTCCCTGATGAAGGGGCAGCGCCTGCCTGCTGCTTCCCAGGGAGGAATGGGAGGTGGCTTCAGGCGGTGCACAGGCGTGCTTCGTCCTAATAGGCAGGTTCTTACTCCAGCACTGCGTGAGAAGAAAACTCGTGGAATGGTGTCGGCCGGAGTATTACAACAAATGGAAAGGGATTTGAGCGCTCACTGCCCTGAGCAGGTCAGTGCTGGCGAACATCTGGAACGGGAAGTAGTGGTGGGCTGAACAAAGGCATGCGGAGGCCTTCTGAGGTCCTTTCGAATCTGAGAGCCTCGCTTTTTTCAGTATGTATGGATCAATTTTATACCAGGGATTGAACCCATGGCCTTCCACTGAGCTACATCCTGATGCCTTTTATTTTTATTGGGAGGCCTTTTTTTTTTTTCTTTTTTCCCTTGAGACAGGGTCTTGCTAATTTGTTAAATTACCCAGGGTCAGCTCAAATTTGCAATTCTCCTGCCTCAGCCTCCTGGAGTTCTGGGGTTACAGGCATGTGCCACCTTGCCTGGCTTGAATTTGGGTTTTATTTATTTATTTATTTTTTTGTGGAACCAGGGATTGAACTCAGGTCCCTGAGCTTGCCAGGCAAGTGCTTATTCCACTGAGCCATCTCCCCGGCCCTGAATTTGGGTTTTAAACATGAAGTTAGGCTATACGTTAGCAGAGAAGTGCAGTGGGAATTACTAGGCAAACCAGGAAGATGCAGAGGTAATGGCTGTTGACAGCGCCCTGAGCTCCTGGCAGTGTGTGTGTGTGTGTGTGTGTGTGTGTAGCTTCTAACAAAATTGGAAACATTTCGTATATATAATTTTCTTACACTTTGTTGACCTGGTATGTTAAATTTTTTATTCTGTGTCCTTATAGAAAGATGTCTTTCTCATCTTGTTTCCTCAGGACAGGGAGCAGCTGAAGCTAGAAATTGGTCACTCGTGTAGGGCAAGACAAGGCCCAAGTGCCTAAATTAGTCAGGCTACCTCGGTCCTGAGAAAAAACACCTTGCTTGAGACAATCCCAGTCCTCAGCCACTAGGCAAACCTGTGTCTTAGGATACTGATCTTTTAGAGCATCCATAAAATGCCCTACTGTCGTGCTGCTCTCCTCCCATCAGGAGCCAGGGCCTCCACCTGACCTCAGCTCTCGTCGTCCCTCGTCTGTGTTGTCCTCATCCCATGGCGCCCCCTCCCCTCGTGACCGAGGATGGCCTCCTCAGCGGCATGCTCAGGATTGTGTGGTGCGCTCCAGGCTGTGCAGTCCTGTGCCCACAGTGCCTTGCGGCGAGGCTGCCTGCTGGTGTCCAGTGGCCTAGCGCCCTCTTCTCCCTCTGCGCAGTTAAGTTCTGTTGAGAGGAAGTGTTTGCCCGTTTGGTAGAAGAAATACTGCTTTCCATTTTTGCTTTTATTTAGTATTTTCTTGATTGTGCTGAATTTTTTGTGTAGTTATTGATCAGAGATGTCTTCTTTTGTGAATTTCCTGCACATTTTCCGTGTGTGTGTGTATGTGTGTATATATGTGTATTTGTGTGTGTGTGTGTGTGCACATGCACACACATGGTTTGAGACGTGGTTTCAGTCTCATTCAGGCTGTCCTTGACCTCATTATGTATTCAGGTTGGCCTCCTGCCTCAGCCTCCCAAGTGCTGGGATTATAGGTGTGTACTACCATACCCAGCTACAAATTTGTCTTTTCTTCATCTTTTTTCTTCTGGGATTTTAAGGGTGTTTTCTTATTAACATATGTTAATTTATGACAGCTTTTGTATTGCAAGGGTATGAGTACTTCTTTTTTTTTTTTAAGGTTCTGGGGATTAAACCCAGATCCACTCTACCACTGAGCTACATCCCCAGCCCTTCTGTCTTTTAATTTAATTTAATTTTGGTACTGGAGCTCGAACTCAGGACCTCACCCTTGGAGACAGGTTCTTGTTCCACTGAGCTATATTCCTAGTTCTCTTTTTATTTTGAGACAAGATCTCACTAAATCAGCAAATTGCCCAGACTGGGTTCAAACTTGTACTCCTACTTCAGCCTCCCAAAGTGCTGGGATTGCAGGTGTGCACCACTGTACCTTCTGATGACGCCAGGCAGGAGCCTGTGTTGACTCTTGAACGGCGAGGGGCAGCAGCGTGGAAGAAAACCTCTGCCAGAGTTACCACATCCACGGCATCTGAAAGTGAGGAGAGTGTGAAAGTGATTGCAGAGTGAAAGTTCTAGATGATGGGTAATCGTGCTCTGATAGGCCGCGCTCCCATTGGCCGTGCTCCGATAGGCCGTGCTCCCATGGGCCACGTTCCCATCGCCGTACTCTGATTGGCTTGTTCTTTTCTTCCTTGGTGGTGCCTCTTCCAGTTCTTTTGAGAGTCCTGGGGTCTGTGCAGGAAATTGAGGAAATGTAGATAAATAAAATGAACACCAGATAACCATTGTTAATGTTGTTACTGATCTCCTAATAACCCTTTGCAGAATGTACACACACAAATGTATTTATGGGCATCTATATATGCAAAAAGGGTGATCAAAATATCTGGTGAATGTTTAAATTTCATAGTAAAAGGCTTCTTGTCTCTACGCCCTCAGATGTGGCCCTCGCTTCCATCCCCCTTATCCCACTGCCTTTCCTCTGAATGAAGCAGCTCTGGTAGTCCACTTTTGTGGGGTCTTTATGAAGTCTGATGTGGTGACTGCTGTGCCAGGTGCTGTCCAGCAGAAAGGCAGGCTTGTACAAACGCGAAGATTGCTGGGCTTGGTGGTGCATGCCTGTAATCCCAGCACTCAGGAGGCTGAGGCAGGAGGATTGTTGCGAGTTCGAGGCCAGCCTGGGCTATGCAGTGAGCACAAGGCCAGCTTAGTAAGACCCTGTTTCAAAAAAAGACAAGACAGAGGGGTTCTCTCGTCTTCCTTTTCACTGGGCCTGGCTCTGCAGCTTTTGGGTCTTCCCCAAAGTGACCACGCAAGGCCCGTGCTGGGAGTTGGCTCCGGACATCAAGGCAGCCACGAAGCCCAGTGGACGAAAGAAGAGGACTTCAGAGCCGTCCAGAAGTGGCAGGACTGATGGGACAGGAGTATCCAAAGTGAGGGTGACTTAGCGGGGCCTTGATGGCAACGTGTCTGTTAAACACCTGAACAGTCACTGTGTCTTGTCTCTTGCACATTTTGCCCTTTCTGTCTTCTAGTTTTTACTTTAAAGGATTGGTTCGTGTTTCCTTGTATGAATATGGTGTAATCTGCTTAATCTCCGATGCACAGCCTGTGGGTCCAGAAATGGGATGAGTCTCCCTTCAGAGCTTCCAGCCCCCTGCCAGGCCCCCAGCTGTCCCTGCTCTTCCCAGCACTGACTCCTGAGTCCTTGCATCTTGGCCGCTAGCTTGGGCGTGGGCAGGGAGCTGCAGTTAGGAGGAACCCGCAGGCCTGGCGTCTCCCTCTGTGTCGCAGTTGAACAGAGCCATGCTCGCCTCGACTGTGAGATGTGCCGTCACCGGTAAGTGGCGCCGGAAGATTCCTTTGAAAGTGTTCAGCCCCAGGAAGAAGAGGGCCCCGTTTTCGTCAGCCCCAGCCCCTCAGCACACATACAACTGGCCCGAAGCAGGCTTTCCCCTCCCCAGCTGTGATGCATGCCGGTATTTTCTGATTTTGTCCTCTTTCGTGTGATTGATTGACTTTTTGAGACAGGGTCATGCTGTACAATTCAGGCTGGCCTCGAGCTCACTGCGTAGCCCAGGCTTGAACTTCCAACAATCCTCCTGCCTCAGCCTGCCGAGTGCTGTGATTACAGGCATGTACCACGACACTTGGCTCTGGAGTGCTGACTGTGGCAAGCAAAGATGTAGCTGAGCAAGGTGGCTCAAGCCTATAATCCCTTCACTATGGGAGGCTGAGGCAGGAGGATCACAAACTCTTTCCCACCTGGGCAGCTTGACTTACTGAAACCCTTTCTCAAAATAAACAGTGGTGCTGTTCTGCTCAGTGTGAGGGCCCTAGACTCAATCTCCAGTGCTGTAAAGGAAGGAACCCACTGGGTGTATAGCACACCCTGCCCCGTAAATTTCAGCTTTGTTATCCTGGGACAGGGAAGTAAGTGGAAGTGTGACTCAGACTCCAGGTAGGAAGATTTAGAATGTGACTGACAGAAGCCTGAAATGATACGGATTTCACGCTACCAAAATGATATGGGTACTTCTTATCTCATAAGCTGTACTTGACGGGTCGAGTAGGCGCGGGCCTTCTCCTGGTTGCCGTGCCCGATCCTGGGCATGGAGCTGGGTGGAAGCCACATCGGCTGTTGGCGAGGTTTTCAAGTCATGGCTGTTGCGCTTACTTGTTCCCAGTTTCCTCACGGTGATCTGTAACGAAGTGTGATGCCTGGTTCCTGGAGAAATATGTATCAGAGAATTTCTGGTATTTGGGTCGCTCTCTGGGCATGGAGTGTTCGCTTTGGCTTCCCGACTGGCTCCGGCTGATTCTGCTGAGCGAGCAGACCGGCACAGGTCTTCTCCAGGAAGTGTGAGGCGAGGGTACTAGCTGTTGGGGCGCTTGGAATAGAATTAGCAAACGAGGAGAGGTGAGCAGACACCTGGGAAAGGCGGTGGGCAGTGTGCTGAGCACGTTAGGGCACGAGTCTCCAGGAAGGCGGCCGGAACCGGGTGCAGGGGCCTGTGCCTTGGCCCAGCGCTCCTTCCAGAGGCTGAGGCAGGCGACTGCAGCTGAGTCCATCCTGGGGAATGTAGGGCTGGGGACTGGCTCGGGGTGACTGGCCCCCGCCCCTGGCAGAGCGTGGCAGGGTCCTGCATGTGCACTGCCTTCTCATGAATGATTCCTCCCCTGGCTCCTCCCCTGGCTCCTGTGGACTTGGCAGCAGAGCCTGCGTCTGAAGCTAATCTCTGCTTCCCGGCCGGCTTTCTCCTCTCTTTCAGGTACGCAGTGAGCATCGGCTACTGGCACGACCCCTACATTGAGCACCTTGTGAGACCGTGCAAAGAGAGAAAGGCCCCCGAGATTAACAGAGGCAAGTGCTGTCTCCTCCCTGTGTTCTCTGTAGCCCAGGGGCCTTGGGCCTAAGGATCTCCTTCTTAAAGGGAGTTGGTGTCCACTCTCAGAGCATAGTTTGAAAATTCTTATTTCTTAATTACCAACATGTTGTGCTATGAGGCCTTTTAATCTTTACTGCGATCCATGAAAATGGATATGTTACTGAAATTTTATTGTATAATCATCTTACATTTGTAAGGGAAGTGGAATGTCGTTTTCCTATGCTCAAAACTCACTTATGGCCAGTGTGGTGGTGCACGCCTGTAATCCCAGCACTTGGGAGGCAGGAGAATCACCAAGAGTTCGAGGGCAGCCCATGCTGAGTTCAAGCGCAGGTCTGAACCTCAGAAAACCAACCCTCTAAAAGAAAAAAACTCCCTCACTTATGTGTCATTTATTGGCCATGTTCTTGTGACACCTTGTACTGTTAGCAGCTTTGCCCAGTAGTTCTCAGCCAGGAAGACCAGGGATTGGAGGCAGGAGCCTGACTTACCCCAGCCCCATCCAGAGGCTGACCCACGGACCTGGCTCTCTGGCCCCTGGCTGGGGTCGCGTGGCTGCGTTCTGGGAGAGTGCAGAGAAGTTTCAGAGCGGTCGTCTTGAGAGAGGCACGCACTCCTTCCCTTCACACTCCTGCGGCCTTCAGGCAGATCTCTAACGAGCCGTGCAGCGCCGGGGATGCCGCGGAGCCCGGTGCTGGCAGGGCGGCTCTGCAGGGCCCCGGGTGATGGCTTGTTTCTCTGGCCTCTAAGGATATTTTGCTCGAGTCCAGGGTGTCAGCCAGCTTACGAAAGCTTTCCTCCGGAAGACAGGATGCCACTGTCAAATTCTCAACCTTGGGGCTGGGATGGATACCACCTTCTGGAAGTTGAAGGTAAGTTGGCCTTCCCCCTCACCTCGCCGATGACTTCGGCTTAGTGTTTAAGACGTTTACCTGCTTCAGAAATTTAAAGATCTCCTGGAAGCTGTGCATTGAGGTCCTGGGAGACAGCCTGGCCTTGCTGCCTCGGTGCCCCTGCGGCCCCTCACTGTCCCCGCTCACTGGGCCTTGGTAGGTCGTTCCTGAGTGGCGGTGTTATAAATGAAATTGCAGTGAAAGTCCATCTATTTTCTTCTGTACATATGGAGCTATTAGGAGAAAAATTCAACCAATGGAGTTATTAGGATGAAGAACCCATACTGTAGTTTTGACAGTAGCTAGAGCCTGCTCTCTGTCCGCATGTTGGCTAAAACTGGAGGTTTGCAAGTCTGAGGGTGATACTTTGAAGCAAGTCCTGTGTGGTTTTCTCCGACCACTTCCCTTGACTCCCCCTTGGGTTTGAGAGTGGCTCTGGTCATGCACTCAAGAGAAATAAATAGCTGCGATTCGAGCTCGTGGCAAGCTGGTGGTACCAAAGAGCTCTCAGCTCAGTTCTTACCCCTGAACCTTTGCCCCTCAGTCTTCTCCCAGCTTGTGTTCTCGTTTTGGTACGTTTGTGCAGATTCAGATTCCTCGTTTCCCATGTGAGTTGATGATGTGGCAGGAGGGGTGTGTGCACCTCCTCAGCTGCCTTGCAGGAGATTGCCTGGCTGGGGCTTAATATGTCCCAGTCAGCCCACCTGATAAGGATGTCTTGCTTGTCAGCAGTCCCAGCCCTCTCACTCCTTCCGGGAGACGCAGCCAGTGGCCTCGGTGTGCTCTTGGCGTTCACCCTCGGCCCCCGCGTCCTCCTTTTAGGATAACTTGCTTCTGTGAGATGCCTTCATGTACACGAGCTGAGTGTAGCATGAGCGCATGAAGGAGGTCTTCCACGGGTGGAGAAAGGGGCAGCAAGAGGTTGCGTCTTCCAACAGCTGACAGACCTTGGCACTGGAATGAGGACACGCGTGGGACCCAGCTCCTCAGTCCCCAGACTCCGTCCTCTTTACCTACAGTCGTGTGTGTGTCCCCCCCCCACGGGGGGGGGGCTTTGGGACTCATTGTGTTTTTGGTGACAGCCTCTTGTTTGTAGACCTGCTGTGCCATTGTAGTGTCCCGTGGGGCAGTATAAGGGCTCGGCGGGGTCCCTGGAGGGATGTGCTGTGTTGTGTGGGTGGCCTACCGGAGAAATCTCTGGGCCTGAGCCCCAACCACGTGATCTCTCCTTCCCCCATCTCACAGTAGGTCAGCAATAAGTCTGACATTTTCATTTCAGAGCAGTGTTCATTGCGATTAATGTCCATCTTCTAAGAAAGGATGCCTTAGCAGTAGTAAAAGGCGAAAGATTTATACTCTGGAGAGAAACCAGAGTATCGTCTTATCAGTAGTGAGGAAGGAAAATTGCCATGTCTGAAAGTCCTTTGTGGAAATTTTTATTTTTTATTGCTCACTGGACAGCGCTTCTTTCTCTGTTAGGGAGAAGGTGGTTCAGAGCTCCCTTCCAGATATTTGTAGCCTTTTTCCTTGTCTGTTTTTTTTTTTTTTTTGTATTTTTCAGGAAGGGTCTACAGGGTGTTGAGGGTCCCACTACTAGATCAGATTCCTAGTGATCACCTGTTTGCAGACTCCTAAGAGCTGGGATTATAGGCCTGCGCCACCACGCCCAGTCTTGAACACTTTGTATATGATTCTTGGGTGACTTATAAAAATCTTAGATGTGTTCTGTATTGAATTGTCCCCCTTGCGAAACCCCAAGTGCACCACGGGGTTGGGGCCAGCATGGCAGTACTAGGGATCAAACCCCGGGCCCGTGCGCCTGCTTATAGGCACTTTAATCCTCTGAGCTATTTGGCCAGCCCCTTGGCTGTTCTTTTAGAGCAGAAATTGCCAACTGTTGGCCATGGACCAAATCTGGCCCACCACCTGTTTTTGTGAATAAAATTTTATTGGAACACAGCCATTTGCATTGGTTTGCAGTTTGTGCTTCTGCAGTCAGATGACAGTGATGACAGCAGAGTTGGGCGACTGTGGCTCAGGCCATCTGGTCTGCAAAGGATAAGGTGCTTTTTTGCTGGCTCTTTTCAGGAAGGGTTTGCCAGTCTCTTTTTACTTTTTTTTTTTTGGTGGCCTGAAGAGTCCTTGAGGGCATTTCTGGTTTCCTGTGAGAAACTGGGTTTGAACCAGAGCATCTTGAGCCTGACTGCTTTGTTTAGCAGGCACTTAAACAACTGAGCTACTGGGCAGGCCCCCAGTCTCTTTTTAGAGATGGATGTGTTTCCACAAAAGCGTAGGAAAAGCTTTGTCTCTGATCTTACTGTGTCCGGCGCTTCCAGCTGGGGTGGTTCCCTTCTTGTACCTGCAGAGGTTTAGCTGTGAATCACAGGCTTTCCGTTGTCACCGCTGCGTGAGCCCCTTCTGTGTAATCCCAGACTTGCATGGTAGGAGATTCCCAGCTGTAGGAAAGCCAGCATCATCTGCGGAAGGAAGAAGGGGTAAATGAAGCCATTGAGGTACCTCGGTTACTTCTTTTTTGAGAGCTATGTAGCCGAGGCTGATGTCGAACTTGCCCCAGCCCCGCTGCCTTGGCCTCCGGGCTCTGGGGTTACAGGCATGAGCCACCATACTTGGCTTCCCTCAGCTTTCTGGTGTCTCCCAAGTCTTGTTTCTGCACGGAGGACCGGGTGTGCTGGGGAAGCGGTGTCAGTTTTGGCGGCCTGTGAACCAGCCGGTCGTGTGAGATCCCCTTTGTGTCCGAGCGTAGGTGTGTTACTGGCTCTCTCTGCCAGTGTTGCTCAGCCCGTCTAGATGTCTCGCATGCCAGCGCGTGACGCACAAACTCTTTGGAAGTGACCACAGAAAATAACAGTGTCAGAACTGGGTGTCACCTGCCAGTGCCGTTTGCCCCCGGGGTGCCGTTTCACAGTCCTGCTCCTGCTGCACTTGTCTCTCCAAATTCCCAGGAGCCTCAGGTGGGCCAGCACCTTCCTGGCCAGCTCTCACATGCGGGGGCCCCTCTGCAAGAGCCGGAGGACCCTGCTGCTCCCAGGCTTCTACCACGGAGCCACGTCCCGAGCAGCGAGGAGCAGAGCGCAGCTCTGTTGATGGGCGTGAGCTGAGGCACCACGTTGCAGTGTGTGTCTGCCGACGCGCCCTTGGCCTCCCGTGATCTTCTGGCGTAGCCTCTGCACTTTGCTCCCTCTCCACACACATCCTCCACATCTTCCAGCAGCTTCTGCGGAGCCCACCTCTGCAGGTTGCGGGTGTGTGCCATGTCCTTAAGTGTGGCCAGCCAAGAGTCCAGGCCTCCCAGCACAAGCCGGGCAACTGTCCTCTTGGTTCAGAAAAGTAAGCCCCCGGCTAGGTCCCTTGGGACTTCAGGGGAAGCACAGTGTCCCTGTGGGTGGCAGAGTTGGTCTGACAGCTTGCTGTGTGCTCTTAAGGGTCACTTTCCTGCCAGGAACCTGTGACTGTGATTTCTGGCCCTGCTCTGCCGTGCTTGCAGGGCCTGCCTCCGCTCAGTGTCCTGTGCCCCTCAGCACCGGGTGTCCACTTCTGCTCATTGTCACTTAAATGTTCTCTTGTGCCCCCAGGTGCTCAGGTCGGGACCCAGGGCATCCTCCTCCACCCTCCTGCCTCCGTCCTGTCCCGCACAGTGGGGCTCCCAGTCACCGGGCTCAGAGTATCCGTGCTTTCATTTTCCTGTCAGAAATCAAGCGGCTCTGCATTTCTGGGATGCACGTCTGACTGACGAGTGCGCTGCGGAGAGCCTGGGCCTTGTTTCTTTCGGAGACTGAGAGGTGCAGAGCCGCTGGAGATGGCCTGTAGTGTGCAGCGGGGGGAGACCAGAGCCGGGCTCCTCAGGGCCTGGGCCCGAGGGCCGTGGATGGAATCGGGACGAGTGCCCGTGTGAGCGAGTGACAGAGGCACAGGGAGGGCAGAGTGAGGCTCGCATAGCCCGCGTAGGGCAGCAGAAAGAGCAGCCGCGGGCGTGTGTGACTACAGCCGCGGTGAGAAGCAAGCGTTGCATCCACCGGCACCCCTGTCGCTGTCATCTGTCTGTAAGCACAGAAGGCACACACATCATTCACCGGTCAGGCCTCTCTGCGCGCCCCGTGGGGCCTCCTTCGTCCTCGCGGCCCTGTCAGCGTGAGTGTGTGCCCCACTCTTTATTGAAGACCCTTGTCCCACTGGTGAGCTGCGTGACTCTGCAGGGCCTCCCAGCATGCGATGGGGGGCCTGGGATTCAGGCCCCGCCCGCAGCTCCGAGGTGCCTCCCAGCACTGCGCTGTCTGTCGCAGCAGGATGGCAGCAAGTGCGCGTCTCCGCCGGCGTTTGGCGCTTTCTCGTGGTAGTCACTTACGTGAGCTCATCCCCAGAGTGTGCTCGGGACTCGTCCTGCTCCTTCCCTGACCCTCTCAAAATTTGTCTCAAGGTGCTTTTGGAGCACTGTGTGTAAGGTGTGATAAACAGTATGGGGACTATTGAAGGTTGTAAAAAAAAGCTTATTGCAGTAATAAACCACTGCGTTTATCCCTCCTCAGCCGCTTACCCTAGCATCCGGGGCACTTTCTGAGGCAGCCCTGGGAGTCTGCATTCGTGGGTGTCTTTAGCTGTGTTTGACGACTGCCTTGATGTCGCACATTGATTCAAAGCATTCTCCTTTCCTGCCCGCTTGGGCTTTGGGGGAAAGGCCCGGATCCTGCGGCGCCAGAACCGCGGTACAGGCAGCTGAGGACACGCTGTCATGTCATGAGCCTCCTTTCCCTTGGAGGGTGCATGGTAGCAGCATTCCTGCCTTTCTACCACACCTTGTAAGGACACTCAGAAGGGGACTTCCAGCTGCTCCAGAAAGAGGCAGGAGCGCAGGGCCTGTTGTTCAGAGCAGGGAGGTCAGGGGAGATTAGTGGCGCTGCGGCTTTAACTGTAACGAGTTAATTTTCACTTAAGCTAACGCCTTGTGTGTTCTGCTTCTTGAGTTCCTTGCAGCACCTCACGTCCATCTTAGTCACCCTTTTTCTCGTTCCTGCTCTCAGGCCTTTTTTACCTGGATGACAGCGGAAGCCTCCTAAGTTTCCCTATGTCCCTTGTTGCTTCCATTAAATCCATCCTCTCGCTGAGAACAAAATAACTTGCAAAATATATCTCAGACTGTATCCCCCTTAAAATCCTTAGGAACCCCTTGCTGTTGGGCATTTAGTCCTGAATATGTGGACGAGGGTCAGCAGGTGTGGCGAGGGAGAAAGTGATTTTGTAGTTTCTTCCCCTCAGGATGAAGATCTTCTCCCAAGTAAATATTTTGAAGTTGACTTTCCAACGATAGTCAAGAGAAAGCTGCACAACATCAAGTAAGTGTTGCTGTGCTGGAGGGAGGGGGCGGGGGGCTGGGACCCTGCTCTCGCTGCTTGGCCCCTTGCCCTCCTGTCCTGCCCCTGGATCTTCGGTCATTGTGTCTTGCGTGCCGACCCCTCGTGCAGCGTAGCCCACTCTGGGAGCCCTTCTCTTCCATGAGTGTAATTCCCTCAACATTTAAGACTATCAGAGTTGAATTTGAAATTTTATATGTATTTTGTTTAATTCTTTATCCCAAGAGCATAGAAAGGAACCTGGCCTGGAAGATAGGTGCCGGATCGTGTGTGTGTGTGTGTGTGTGTGTGTGTGTGTGTGTGTAGCTGAGTATATGAGGGGCATTACACTTAGGCTGTTCTGAGTCCGGCCTCCAAGGCACTTGCATGTTGTAGATGGCAAGTCTGCTGCTAGTTGGTGCTGAGAGCCTGTCCTAGTTAGGTTGCTTGTTTATTTTTGCTGTTGTTGTTAGAGACAGTGGCTCACAGTGTCCCCCACGCTGGTCTCGAACCCACAGCCACTGCACCCGGCTGCTGAGAGCTTTGTTTAGCCCAGGGCCATGGTGAGTGCTTCCCTGGGGCTGCTGCAAGTACTTCTCCTGCCTGCCTTTTGCAGGGGAGGAACCCACCTCAGCCTCAGAGAAGTACATTTTGCCAGAGGTTGGTCAGCTGCCTGGGAAGGAGTGGCACTGACATTTAAGCCCTGGCTCGAGCCCTGGTCCCGGCTTCTCAGCAGTTTTTATTACAGTTCTTACCACTGCTCATGCCAGTGAATCATTTAATTAAATTATTCTTTTTTTAAAAAAAAATATTTATCTTTTTTTGCAGCCGGCTCAACCCTACTGGAGCAGGGCTGGCGTGGCATGTGGTGCCAGGGACCAAACTGTGGTCCCTAGGCTTGCCTAAGCAGGCGCTTTAGACGCTGAGCTATCTCACCAGCCCCTAAATCCTGATTCTTATTTTTATTGTTTTATGTATTTGGTATGGGGTCTCGCTACACAGTTTGGACTCCTAGTGATCCTCTGGTCTCAGCCTCCCCAGCGCTGGGATTACAGGGGTGCAGCACCATGCCGGGTTTCAGGGCCAGCACAATGAGGCACGCCCAGGGCTGGGGCTGGTGCAGAGTGTGGTTCCGGGCATCGAACCCTAGTCCCTGCGCTTGCCTAAGCAGGTGCTTGGTCCGCTGAACTATCTCACTCACCCCTTATGTTTATAAAAGATGAACACAAGTAAAAGTATTTGCTAGTGCTTTAATGATGCCTAACCTTTCAAATTGTAAATGTTTTTAAGTTTTATTTCTTATACTCTGCACTATGAAAATAAGTTTTCCATTGTTTCCTAATATAAATTATATTTTGTATTAAACATCCTTTTTGAGATAAAAAAGGCAAATTCGGGGTGCCTTTGGATCTACAAAGTGCTGCCGAGGAGTGTGTGGGTGCTAAGTTCGCCTCTGATCTGTTGTCCTGGGAAGAAAAGGGGTTGTTATTTGTGCGTGGTGGGTGGGATGCTGGTGTGTTCTCTGATTTATGACCTTCAGTTTAAGGTTCAGTCCTGGTGGTAACTTCCAACAAAGCGCAGCTGTCTTAAATTTTTTGAGAATAAGCAAGAAACTAGCGCTGACCTGAAAACAGAATTGTTGCGAGCCTACCTGTGCTGTTTCTGGGTTGACTTGCTGGAGGCTGATGTGCCATCTGACCTCTGAGGCCACGCAGGATGCTCCCCTGGCCTGGGACTGGACCTGCTGGCTTTTTATGATGCGTGAGCAGAGTCAAATGAAACTGCTTTAGAAACTGTGGCAGTCTGTATGGCCTCGTGTCACATGTGGGGACTCCGCTGGCAAAGCCGGGCAGAGGTCTCGCAGTGTGAACGTCGGGAACTTGGCAGACTTTCGGCCCCGAGCATTTCAGACGAGCACCTCCTCCTGGAGCTGCCGCTTCTGGAGCGGGCGCTGGCACTGTGGTAGCAGATGAGCTCGTGAGTAAAGCGCCGTTTTTCTCCTCTTTGCCTTCTTCCTGCAGAAGCAAGCCCGCCCTCGCCAAGCCCATCGCAGAGTTGCACTCCGAGGACGCGCTTCGTATCGGTGAGTGCCCCTGGCGGAGGAGCTCAGCAGGCCTCGTGGACCGGTCTCGCTTGCTTTCCTTTTGAGAGATGTGTGTGTTGTGTTCGACAACAAATGCGTTTTCTCTGCTGTGTTTATACTTCTACCCCTATTACCATGAGGGACTTTTTAAGTCTTTTTTGTCTCTTTTTTTTGCGTTTTTATTTTTATCAGTATGTGTTGGAATTGCGTCATGATTGCGTTCCTCACGGGAGCTGGTCTGTGCACAGCGGCTGGCTGCCAGCTCTGGGCCTCGTCCTTTCCCTCCCCTTGCTCCCGTGCCTCCATCTCTCTATCCCAGCCTGTTTGGAGAAGATCTCTCTGCTTCCTATTATCTTTGCTTTTGCTCTTTATTTTCCAATTTAATAACATTTATCGAGTGTCTACAGTGTGCCCGGACTTTACTAAACACTCCGAAATTTGAGCACAAAACAGATGCAGGCACGTGGCGCGAGGCGCCTTGTAACCTAGTTAGTACAACGCAGATTGAAAGCAGGAGGTGACTGGGCCTGGTGGCGCACGCCTGGGATCCCAGCCCTCAAGGCCGAGGCAGGAGGGTCGCTGCGAGTTCCAGGCCAGCCTGGGCTCCAAGAGTGAGCTCAGGGCCAGCCCAAACTGCATAGGGAGACCCTGTCTCAAAAACCAAACAATGAAAAGACAGACAAGTTTCCGGTTAGTGCTGGGTTACCAGAGTCAGCCCTGCACTGTGCTCTTTGTTTATATTGTAAGTTTCTTATACAACTTCTGTGTGACTCTTCTCAGGTGTTCTAAATTTTTTTATTCATGAATTTGGATTAGTCACCAATATTTCCCAAACAGATGTCTCATGAAAATCTCAACATTCAGCTTTTCTTGGAAAAATCAAAAGTAGCAGTGTTAGAACGGGCAGAGCAGCAGCTCGCAGTGGCAGTGCTCAGTTGTCCTAGCTTGACCCGCTCCATCCCTGGGGTCTTCCTCTGTCTGGGCTCCCAGTGCCCCGGGGGTGTGAGCGCTGTCCTCACGGTGTCCTGCACTGGCTCCTGCATCAGTGTTCTGCCCAGCATTTAATGATAAATGTTTATAACAACATTGTCTTCATTTTTTAGCTTGCCAAATTTTGTTTTAAAAAGTCTCTACCAAACTCTTCTATTGTGTTCAGTCTGTCTGACAGAAATTCCAGGAATGAATCTTCTCCTTTCATATGAGGAAACAGGCCCAGAGAGCGTGGCCTGCACGATAACAGAGCCGAGGGCCAATGAAAGCGACCACAGAGCCATTCGTACCTAGTGCCGTGGTCCTCCCGCTCGTAGTTAGAATCCAGTACAGTCTGCGCAGAAATCTCCCGGGCCCACGGAGGAAGGAAGGCTGGATTGTCACCAGTACCTGTGCGAGGCCGCCACCTGCTGGGCTGTTTGCCTTCTTACCGCTTTTGTGGTTGCAATTTTCTCTGCAGCTGGTTGGCAGCTGTGCGATCCGTGAGGAGGGCTGTAGTAGGCGGCGGCGCGGTCCGCTAGGAGGGCTGTAGTAGGCAGCGGCGCGGTGTGTGAGGAGGGCTGTAGTAGGCAGAGGCGCGGTCCGCGAGGAGGGCTGTAGTACGCGGCGGCGCGGT